GATGTGAAAAATGCCAAGTCAATGTGTACATTTAAGAAAAAGATCAAAGCTGAATTGTTAAAATATATAAAGTAGCTCAGTGTGTTTTGTATTAGAATTAGAATAATTAGAAAGAGTTATTCATTTTGTTCTGTTACTTGAAAATTATTATGATTGAAATAATTGTTTGAAAAAAGGGGCAGATAGAATAAGATTTTTTCTTCTTTCTGCTGCCTTTCATTTTAAATCTTTTGTATCTTTTTATATTGTTATGGAATTGTTTTGTACTTTTTTAAAATGAATAAACTTCATACCACACCATACCATATTATGGCAATGACAATAAAGTTTAAAGTAAAGTAAGTAAGTAATCGATCCTTATCCACCCCCGAACAGGAATTCATAACAGAAGTGTTGTGGGCTGAGCGAATAGCCTCCACAGCGACCCCTAGAATATTTTAAAACCTGAGCCCCAAACTATTTTTTGACTGATAAGCATGAAGTTTGGTAGACTTATACAACTCGCAGACTTGCAGAAAACCCTCCGGCGACCATGCTCTACACTAAACAGTAGGGGTGTAACGGTACGCTAAAATCACATTTCGGTTCAGTTTCAAGGAGGGCTCGGTTCGGTTCATAAAAAGACAAAATGAAGACTTACAAAATGTTTATTTTGAAAATATGCCAACTAAACAATAGGTTTGTATAAAAATAAATAAAGCGACCCATTTGGATGATATTTTAAATAAAAGGCACTCTCTACAATAAATAAACTATAACAACAATAATAAAAATCTTAATAAATACAATAACAGTCAGAACCAGAACAATAAGCAGCAACAGACTTTTTACAATCTAACTAATCAAGTTTTAAGTTTTTGTCCAAAAAGACCAACTTGTCCACATTTTCTGCCAAAAGCACAGATCTAGTTGCAGTGAATGTCTCCAGAGGTGGAGAAAACCTCTCACTAACAACAGGTGGCAGGAATAACGAGGTAGAGATTTGCTAAAAAAAGTCCATGCTCAATAATCCAGGTATACAATCCAACAGTTTTCAGTCAGGTCATCTGGACAGTTTCTTTTTTTGCTGAAACATTTCACCTTCCATAGAGCTTGGCTGATTTTGCAGAGTGGCTGTATTTGGCCTCAACCTCTTGGACCTGCTCCCACAGGTGGAACAGGTCCCTGGAAAAGTTCAGAGCTCACTCATCACAGACTTCTTAGCTGGAGGTGATCTCTGGTGGATTTCCCTGAAGAGGAAGAAGACTCCACTGCTATCTGTCACAGACTGGAAATAAAACACAAATAGGTAAAAAAAAAAAAGTTAATAAGATTATAATAATAAAAAAAGAAAAGTTAATTAGATCATATTAACAAAATAACAATACCTCTTCTTGAACAGTTGAATCTCTCGGTCGTCATCATGTGGCAGGGCTTTAATCGGCTTCAGGGCTTCTTGACAATATCAGTTTTAGCTTTTTCATAAAGTGCTGCTACAACGTTTTGGCTGAAGTGTTGACGTGATGGATGTCGTAGCGGGGCTCAAGAACTTTAAAGCCGGCGCATCAACAACATTCGGACGTAGATCCAGAGCTTTAACAACTCCTACAGCTTGTGTTATTGCTCTGGACTGATCCGAGTTACCTGATAAAGGTTGTTTAAATGCTGCTATCGGTCTTTGCAACAAGCAAGTTGCTAGAAGAGACGTTCACGTTCAGATGATGTCGTTTCTAGGGATGCACCAATCCACTTTTTCCCAATTCTGATCCGACACCTGCTGCTCCAGTATCGTCCGATACCAATCCGATCAGATACATATAGTGCTGAATTATCGATATCATGATCATCATTGATTTTACATGAGGCTGTAATAATCTCCTCTCAAGTACAATTTGTACAAATATATGCATGCATGTCCAAAAAGGCAACTTGAGGTAAGTTGTATTAATGTTGGATGTTTTAAAGTTAGAATTAAACTCTGCTAACACAAAACATGTTTCTTTTTATTTCTAGTTTTAAAGTGGATATTAAAGTGATTAATTTAAGTGATTGTTTAAAGTTATTTTATATTTTTGTTATATAAGATTTTTCTTCTTTCTGCACTCTTTTAATCCAGTATTTTCTTTTTGATGTTTTTTTTTGTTTCTTTTAAATGAATAAAATAAATGAATAAAATGTTAAATGGCTTTAAACATCTGTTCAGTTCATGGCATAAACCAACAGACATGTTCCTGTTTTAGTATTTTACATCACTTTATAATGTAGCCGTTTATGTTTTGTTTATATATATATATATATATATATATATATATATATATATATATGTATATATATATAATTTTCTTGTAATTTTCAAATCATATGCTTTTATGATTGTTTACTGTTGTACTGATAAATATCTCCTGGAGGGTAAACTATATCTTGGCTGCAAGTATCAAGCTGAGAAATCCTTCATTTTCTACAACTGATAGCAGTTGGTCATTAATTATGATGAAGTTTATCAACTTCTCTGTAAACATTCGAGCTCCGGGGCTTCAGCGATGTCTTCTTCTTGTTCAATCCTAAGCAAGCAGTGTGATTTCGGTCAGTCGTGCTCAGTCTGTCCCTCCTCAGAGACGGGCAGATTTAGCAGGGCAGATTGGACACGGCTTGCCGGGGTTTAGTTGCCTGCTACGGGTTCAGCAAGAGTAGCGCCACGCTGAAGCCCCGGAGCTCGAATGTCCAACGTAAAACTAACTTTAACGTGGTTTAATGTGACGCTATGGCTCTGCAGACATTGCACGTTGCTGTCTTGTTTTGTGTTTCTAGTGTAAAATACTTCCACACAGCGGACATGTTTAGATGAAAAGTAGGTTAGCTGTTAGCCACAGTGCTGCTAACTCAGTCCTCACGTTGTAGCTGCTGCAAACTATGAACTGGATTTCCTGAATGTGAGGCGGGTCTTATTACTCTGGGTTCATGAGACGCGCCGCTGTTCAGAAAATCCATTCCATAGTTTGAAGCCAACGTGCATCATGGATCGGAAATATAGTCAGGTTGGATCAGAAAATGGATCGGTCACATTGTCACGATACCGGATTCAGAAGTTTTTCAGATATTGGTACAGATACCGATATTGATATCGGATCGGTGCATCTCTAGTCGTTTCAAGTGCGTTAAAAAGTTAGACGTGTTGCCTGCTGCAGATCCAATCTCCATGAAACAATGTCAATACACATTTTTGGATTTACACTTGTCTTAACAAGAAAGCCATAATGTTCCCCAACAGGAGACCGCAACAACATGCTAGGCTGCTAATGCTGCGCGTGTTGCAAGATAATAGTGCCGGGTTGAAACACGCTTAGGAACTTTAGTTCTGTGGCGCATAATCTCTCGTTAATAAAATTTAATGAGTGAAAAAATAACCGAAACGGTACGCACGTGGACCAAACCGAACGTACCGAACCGAACGTACCGAACCGAACGTACCGAACCGAACGTGCCGTACCGAAATGGTTCGGTACACCCACATGTACCGTTACAGCCACGTGTACCGTTACAGCCACGTGTACCGTTACACCCCTACTAAACAGGAAGTCGGCCATCTTGGATTGAAGTTCTGTATTTGACCCAATTTCGTCTTTTTAGAGGATGTGTCAAACTCAAGGTCCGGGGGCCAAATGTGGCCCTCCTTAATATCTTAGCTGGCCTCCACAGTGTTATTTTAAATGTAAAATACTTTTTTTTTTTCAGTAATCTTTGATTATGATGTCAAAAACAGAAAACATCAAATGAGACCGATCAAACTCTTGTTGAGGAACCTGCAACCAAGAAAAGACGTTGGGTATATAACTTGACTTAATGTAGATTCTGAAACTGGCCCTTAGTTTGAAAAGGGTTTAAAGGTTGACGCCCCTTTTGTAAGTGGGTTTGACACCCCTGGTTTTAGATTTTACATTTGATCGAACTCGTCCTAAAGCTTTTGACATTCAGACTTGAGAATCATTGAGCACAGTCTTCAGGCATCGCAAACCAAAAGCTATCAAAAACTTTCTTCGACATCAATGCTTGTGGATGTGGCCAAGCTTCAAAATCTGTCCATTTACCATAAAACAACAGGGTTTAATAACATCTGTATACAAGATCAAAGCTGTACGAGACTTTGTGCGTCATAAAAGCCCAGCACTCATCACTTTCACATGGTGAGATTGTGTCATTACATTTGCCCTGCCCCCACTGAACAAGAAGTCTTCTGTTTTCCTGCTTGTTCTCTTCCTTCTATGATTCATGCAGATTTAAATCTGTGTTTAATGACATAGCACACTACGAAGCTAAATCCTTCTCTCAACACTGGCTGCTGGCTCAAGCATGTGGGCGTGGCTGAACTGCGAATTCCAGTCCTCTGCAGTTTGCATATGTTTGGCTATAAATCACAAATGCATGATCCAATTTGCTCCTAAGTGGATATAAATGACCTTTGTTAACCTCTAAAGAAGACTTTAGGATTAAATCAAGATTTGAATCCAGTGCGGCCCCTAGATTACTCCATCAGCTATAGCTCCTGGATAATCATGCGATCTGGACCAGAATTTGTGTGCATCATCAGTGAGAACTTCTAGACGCATTGGTATTGTTGTTTCATGACATCACTGGTGCCCTGTCCACTCAGAGAAGAAACAAAGGATTATTCTCCCTGTGTATAAGATTGAAACCGTATTCACTAACTATTAACAACCACACATGGCATGTCGAAAAGACTAAAGGAAGTCCTGGCAAAACATTTGCCACAAAATGGGAAGTGACAATAACTCAATTCACCACTTGCTCTTGCCGAGATCGGATGCTTTTCCCCTGCCCTCCCTCTCCACTTTGCTGGTCTGTCTGTCTGTGAAACTGATTCTGAGCCTCTTTTGCATATCTTATGAACCATAGTTATGGACTTGTTTTGATCAGTTGGTCCCTCAACATAATTGATAAAATTTCTTCGAAGAGAAGACAGGGTTTAGGCGAGCCAATTTGCCCTGTTGGCACGCATGCAGCTGGATATCTCATCGACTTGGAAGACTTGATTATGTGTCTATCTCTGCTGCCACTTGTGGATTTTAAGGATGCATATTTAACTGGATTTTCGATAAATGGTTCTTGCTTTTTGGATTCGGGTGGTTGCTGGTTTTATCTACAATCAAGGAAGTCGTCAGCAGCGAATTGGGACCCCGATCACGCTGCTTGCCTTTATGATGGCTTGGTTTGTGCCTCGAGAACCCAGACTCAAATGCTTTGGGCAGAATGAATCAGATCTCGGGATTTTACTCAGGCACGTTCCATCGGTGTGGCCATGTAATTTGGACATTTTGGAACCGTTTGGACCAACACAGACTCAAGGTAGATGTCATTAAGTTCTGTCTGTCCCCAAAACAACTGTGTGTTTATCTGAATTTGGCTCCCTTGGCTGAACTTGAACACCATCTTATCTGAATTCGCCTGGAGAACATGTGATCTGACGCTCACCACACCCTCCCTGAGGAATTTCCAACTGATAACCATTTGAAACCAGCTGAATCAACATTGGGTCATCACTTCAGGACTCTTGGATTCTCAAACGTTATCCTTGGCCATTCCCCAACAGCCCTCGAGACACTGGCTGATTATTCCATCCTTATCAGAACACTTACAGTGACCTCGACAGCATCTATGGACATTGCTCACCACTCGCCGTCTCCCCCCGCCCCCCCCCCCTGCAGAATGTCTACGTCACTATGTGTTTGTTTGTGCGAGGTGTTTTTTTAATATTAGAGTTTTTCTTCTTAGGTAAGAAGAAAAAATCTGATAGAAATTTTTTCGCCTCCAATTCCTACATTTGTCCAGTTTCACTACTTTATGTCTGTCTAAACAGATCGCACTTGTAAATGAATCTTCTAGGCTCAATGTGACTCATCTGTCTAAATAAAGGTTGAATGAAAAAAAAACTCCTGTCTCAGGTTGGAGTTCGGCCAAACTTGTAAGACTTGCAGCTGGACAAGTACTGACATGGACGTAAGGCCATATCAAAGATTCGGAGAATGTGCCCCCTGGTGAATACATGTGGGATTGACATGACATCGTTCACGATGGCGCCTCTGTGAAGTAGCTGCAAATCCAACGGTCGCAATATGGCCGAAGCGACGCTTGGCTGCGAGGGCCTTCAACACTGCTTGCAGCTTTAATTTTGCTTTTTTAGAACTTTATACTAACATATAAACGCAGAACATTGCAGGGGCTGCCAGCTCTCATTTTGTTTCTTTTGTTTTAGTGCGACCTGTCAATCAACCCAGTAGTCGTGTCAGCAAATGACCAATCGGTGACCTCAATTTGTCCCGAAACGCCCCTTGTCTGTGGAGCCGACGGCAGCCTCTCTGGATGGACGCTTGAGTATGAAGTCTGAACCGTCTGCGGACGGTGCACACACTTTCTGCGCGGCTGACATGACGTGTGAGTACACTGGAGCCTTAAGCCTGGTTCTGCTAAAGGTTTCTTCCTCATGAGGGAGTTTTTCCTTTCTACCGTCGCCTTCATGCTTGCTCAAGATGACAGTTCTGTGATGGAGTTAAACTCAAAGCTGCTCCTCAGATAAATAGTGTTAAATTATTATTTTGATATATGAAGGTTTCTGTTCAGTGCCCTGAGATGACTTCTGTTGTGACTTGGCGCTACATAAATAAACTGAATTGAATTTCTGCTGCTACATTTGATTTTTATTGTTTAAACATGAATAAATATGTAAAAATAAATGCAACCGTAACTGTCCGCGCTTTTTCATTTCATCTTCATAACATTCACAACACTTTATTTCTGATCTCCGAGCTGGAAATGTCCTCAGATTTAATGTCAGAAATCTGGTCACCTTAATTTAGCGTGGCTTTTTTGTTACATTTACGTTTCATGTGTTCAAGGGAATTATTACACACAAAACAAAACAGTGGAATATGAACATCTGTAACTTTAAAACCGACTTACTGACTTTTATTGTCTTTCATTCTGTTTCCTACCTGTTCTGTTCGTTGTTTCTAGCTGGTCGATCTCTGGTTCCGGACCAGGTTCTCCCAAACACTCAGAATATTTCTTCAGCAGCAGCAGTCTGCATCTCAAGACAAGAACTGAAGACACTGACTGGAACAACTAGAAGACTCTGCTCGCACACAGCAGCTCGAAGCTAAAACAACAACATGCTAACTGAACTAAGTGTGCTAGCTTCGGGTGTCACGTGACCCGTTTCTTCTTCGGTGGTTCTTCTTCTTGGTCGACAGTTTGGGAATGACAGTCGCCGTCATAGATATCACATATAAACATATGAAACACATGTGTTTATATGAAGTCTGTGGTCGGGTTCTCCTTCTTCTTCTTTATTTTATTGGCGGTTGTCAAACAACTGAAGGAAGCATTCCGCCACCTACTGGTAAGGAGTGTGGACCACATGATAAAATACAACAAATTATTTCTTTCCCTTCTCTTCTTTCCTCCTTTCTTTCTTCTATCTTTTTCCTTTTAAATCCTTTTATACAACGTGCACTATTTAAAAAGTAAAATATAATCTGATATCCTCTGCTTCCTGAATCTTTATGCAATAAATCAACAATGTACAATTGCATTTTCATATTACTAAGAATCTTAACTAACTTGTTTCTCTGAACCTGGTAACTCCTGCAATGTAAAATAATGTGTTCTATTGTCTCATCTTCCCCACACTCACATTTCCCTGTCTGATGTTTCCCTATTAAAATTAATGCGCTATTCATTTGAGGCTTAAGCCATGTCTCCTGTACACATAATATCAGGTTGGTCCTTTCTACTGTCTATAAGAAAACTTTTTGAGCTCCTGACCATTAGCAATTTGACTCCACTGTAAAGAAAAAATGTTACCATGGTTCCTGGCTTGCCTGCACATTAAGTTAATCCCTTACCTCTTCTCACAAGTCCTACCATGTCAAGATAATGTACTGCTGCCTTAACAATTATTTGTAACCTCTCGGTTTTGAATTTAACGTCATAAGTAGGTTTAATGACTCCAACAATAAATGTAAACAATTTTTTTTCTCATCCCATGTAGACTTCCTGACTTCCTTACTTTAAATTAATATATGCATTTTTTGTTTCTTTCCTGTCTCAAATTCCCTGATTCACCCTCTTTACTGCTTCTGCATAAGTTACTTTTTCCTTGACTTTTATTTGCTGCACAACAATCACTGTCTTTAAGCCTTCACATCCCCCATGCTGTGATTTCCTCCACAGCTACAACATTTTGGCTGTACTCCCTCTCCACACTTACCATACTCATGATCCCCACCACACCTAGCACACCTTCTTGTTCCTTTGCAGTCTTTTGCCAAATGTCCAAATTCCTGACACTTGTAACGCCTCATGGGTTTAGGGATGTATTCTCGTATGCTAAACTTAACAAATCCAAAAAATAACTCATCTGGGATCCTCTTACTTGTGAATTCAATCAGTACTGATTCAGTGTTCTTTTTCTCTACCCCTCTAGTCAACCTTTTGCACTTTTAACCGTCTTATCTCAAACTTGTAAATTTAATACAAGCTCCTTCATTTCTATTTCCAAAGGTACACCTGAAATAACACCTTTACATCCCTGGGGGAATGACCTGTCACCAACCTTTGCAACTTAACTCACCTTTACATTTCTTTTTTTTCCTGGGTCCAGGCTCCGCAGCAGTCTCTCTGTGCAGCGCAGGGCTCCAAGTAAAGCAGGAGATGACCAGATATTTAGGCCCGAGCAGTGAAGCGCTGCGAAGGCCTATTATAATCACTCTGTTCAGGCCTGAGCTGAAAGTTTTTCTGCCAAATGAATTGGCGTTTTGGGGGCCTTAACATATAAGTCAACAAATTTGGCGGACGCATCAGGACTGGTGAAAAATTAAGTATTTTAAGGGCGTGGCAAAATTGCAACAGAAACGGCTCAAGAACGCCACCTACAAATTTACAAAATACCTTCTGCTTTAACCTTAGTTTGTTGTAGAAACATGAAATTTGGTACGCTTGTCCAATTCCCCAAGATGCACAGAAAACCCCCTGGCTCCAACGTTGGATGATAAACAGGAAGGCGGCCATTTTGGAATGCCGGCCCAATTTTCACACCTCTCTGGCTGTTTACAGCCTCCGCATTGGAACTCCTCCTCCAAGGGATTTCACTCAATCGGTTTCAAACTTGGCCATTTTGGTCAAAAGACATGGGGGACGCAAAATTATCTAAACGGTTCGTTTTGGAGCATGCTGAAGGGGCGGGGCCAGACCTCAAAGTTTGACATCTCGCCATGAGAAACGAAACGCTCCTACAAGAAAACTGTCTGAGACATCAAACCTTCAGTGATTGATCCACATCCGGTCCCCTGCAAGACTGAATGGTCAAATCATGACAACACTTAAGACACACCCCCTGACAACAGGAAGTATAAAGTTTTACATTGAACGATCCCTATCTGACCCCTGTTACCTGATCAGCATGATAGTGTGTCCAGTGACTCAAGACATGTTGGTGTAACTTGCTTTCCAACACTGACAGTTTTGGGTGGAGCATGTCAGTGGTGCGGCGAAGACCACGAGGAGGGAAATGTTTCAGGAGACAGAGGGAGAAGAAGAAAGTGAAGAATGTAGGACTGAGGGTGGCAATTCTAATGCCCCTTTTTCACTGTCACGGCGCGGGTCGGCTATTTCCGGCTTGACGTGCGTTTGAGGTCTTTTCCACTATTCCTGGGACCAGCTCGCCTTTCTGGCCCGGCTTCTCAAGGGGTCCAAGCGAGCCGAGCCGTGACGTCAGAAACACTGTCGGTCACTGATTGGTCAGGGGAAGGAGTCTGTGGAGTCTTTCCAAAACAACCCGATCCACCATTTTTTCTCTACCGCTTGCCATTAGCGATAAAACGAGGAGCGTATCTTTTAGTATTTTGAAGCTATACAAAAACAATAATGTCAAAGCCGTGGTCAAATGCAGAAGTGCAGGTGTTGTTGTGCTTGGTGGCCGACGAAAAAAGTCAAAGCGAGCTAGAAGGAGCGATTGGAGGGTGGTTTGGACACGACTACTGCTCTACTTGAATCATTTATAGAAGATGGTGAGTGTTTTCTAACTTTAAACATATTTTAAATTACTCATCCCATCGGTTCTGAACATATTTTTAACTAACAAAAGAGGCTGACGCCATAATAGGACAACATCGGTGTTACGATGCTAAGCTAATTTGCATTAACGCTAACTGTCCTCCGGTACCGTTTCTCACTGTATTTTATCCAGAACGTCTTTCAGAACGTGACGGTTCATCTCTAAACTCCACATTAAACCCTCCAAGCCTCCCGGCTCCTGCTCCATCAGAGGAGTCTGCACCTGACAGAGCTCCATCTAGGGGTTGAACGAGTATATAATTTTTAAACTCGACATTAACATAATAAAACCCGAGTAGAACTCGAGTATTTGATGACGTCATAGATCTCAAGATACAAAAATAAATAAATAAATAAAACCGCAAAAAACGGTAATTATTTACAACAACAAAAAAAGACCAGCAAAACATTGGGAGCGTATATTATGCTCCTACCATTTATTATACTGCAAATAAGTCACAGGAAAAACTAAACAATTAGTTATCATTATTAAACTGCAAACATGAAGAAACATGCAGCACGTCAAAAACGAAACTTAAACCGAAACTGGTTCTGGTTCTGTGGATTGGACCGGGTGTTATACCATACTCTGTGACCTGCAACAGTGCAACACCGCCCCCTACGGTCATACGGTGGTCACATAATATGACGTCACTGCGGATACTCAATGTTAAATTTTTAACCTCGATAGATGTCCTAGTAATCCATGTGTGGATTACTTGAGTACTCTGTTAATGCCCTAGCTCCATCACAGGAGCCCAGCTGCACCTCACAGAGCAGTACAACGCTGCAGCTTCTGTGCTCGGTAAGAACAGATGCAACATGTTCCACATCACTTTATTTGTGCCGATAAGGACTTGATTTATTTTATTTTTAAATTAAAAAAATGAAATGTTGAATAAATACTGAATTGGGATGAAAATATGTACACAGGGTCCCAGTTACAGACAACAAAATGTAAAAGAAAAACAGTAATAAGTTCTAAGATATGAACTAAGAAAAATATCAACTAAAAAACATCTACTAATAAAACACTAAGCACTAATAGCAGTAAACAATCAAAACAATACGTCAAACAGCAACATGAACTTGAGTTTGTGCAGCCTCATGAATATCTAACCAGGATAATCATGTTGCTGCTGATCAGTTTCATGTTGCTGCTGATCTGCTTCATGTTGCTGTTGATCTGCTTCATGTTGCTGCTGATCTGTTTCATGTTGCTGCTGATCTGTTTCATGTTGCTGCTGATCTGTTTCATGTTGCTGCTGATCTGTTTCATGTTGCTGCTGATCTGTTTCATGTTGCTGCTGATCTGCTTCATGTTGCTGCTGATCTGTTTCATGTTGCTGCTGATCTGTTTCATGTTGTTGTGTTCATTCATGCTCATCTGTTCAGACTCATGTCCGTGCTGCTGTTCGGCGTATTGTGTTTATTGTTTTTATTCTATTAGAGCTTATCATATTTGTAGTTGATGTTTTTCTTAGTTCATATCTTAGATCTTATTACTGTTTTTCTTTTACATTTTATTGTTGGATGTAACTGGGACCCTGTGAACATAATTTTGATCCACCACATGTACCACATGAGGTGCGAATGACAATAAAGAATATCTATATCTGTATAATACTTTCTGATTCATATATCCATTATTATTATTATATTATTTTCATTATTTTTAAATCAATTTATTTTTCATTTTCTTATTTGATCAGTTTCTTATTATTAATATATCTATTATAGCTGTTAGCTGCACCTTTCTTTGTTTCATGCATTTATTCAAAAACAGTATGTAGCTTGAATTAACCACTTTTTCTTGTTTCTAGTGAAGAGAAAGAGAAAAGAGTCCAGTAAAGAAAAGTTTTATTTCATCACTGAATGAACATGAAGAACTGAAGCGGACACAGCAGGAACAACACGTGTGTCTTCTTCTGGATGAAGCCCGTGAGACAAGGGACACACAGATACACAATCATTAGTTGGACGCAGTAGTTTTTATTTTTCTACATTTTTCACTTCTTACTTTTCCTATTAAACA